CTTGGGTATAGGGGCGAAAGACTAATCGAACCATCTAGTAGCTGGTTCCCTCCGAAGTTTCCCTCAGGATAGCTGGAGTTAAAAAAGTTGCACCAGGTAAAGCGAATGATTAGAGGCCTCGGGGGCATGGTGCCCTCGACCTATTCTCAAACTCTGAATGGGTGCGAATCACTAATTGCTTAATCGAATTAGTGAGGTCAATTATAACTCTAAGTGGGCCATTTTTGGTAAGCAGAACTGGCGATGAGGGATGCTCCTAACGTTGAGATAAGGTGCTTAAATCTCGCTCATCAGACACCATAAAAGGTGTTAGTTCATTTAGACAGCAGGACGGTGGTCATGGAAGTAGAAATCCGCTAAGGAGTGTGTAACAACTCACCTGCCGAATGAACCAGCCCTGAAAATGGATAGCGCTCAAGCGAGGTACCGATACTCAACCATTGCGACAAGTCTGTTTCGCAATGAGTAGGAGGGCGTGGGGGTTGTTTAGAAGTGTCGAGCGTGAGCTTGCATGGAACGGCTCCCAGTGTAGATCTTGGTGGTAGTAGCAATTATTCAAATGAAACTCTTGAAGACTGAAGCGGAGTAGGGTTCCATGTGAACAGTAATTGAACATGGGTTAGCCGGTCCTAAGGGAGAGATTTGTTTCTTCTAGAGGAGATTTACTCCGTTTTCCGAAAGGGAATCAGGTTAAAATTCCTGAGCTAGGAAGTGGGTATAGAGTGGCAACACGAATGAACTTGGAGACGCATAATGCAGCCCTGCGGAGCGTTTTCTTTGCTGTTTAACAGTAGTTAACCCCTGGAAATAGATCAACTAGAGATAGGGGATAGCCACTGGAAAAGCACTCTAATATTCGGAGTGTGCGGTGCGCTGCATTGTGCCCTTGAAAATCCAGGGGACTATTATTATCCACACCTCTAGCCGTACCAATAACCGCATCAGGTCTCCAAGGTTAGCAGCCTCTGGTCTTTAGACCAAAGTAGTTAAGGGAAGTCGGCAAATTAGATCCGTAACTTCGGAAGAAGGATTGGCTCTGAGAGCTGGGTGTTAAGAGGCGTTTGATGGAACAAGGAGTTAGAACAGGTTTTACGGGATTTCTCGTGGAATCAGTTCAGGCATCTTGCTCACAGCTTACGCATCCTTCTCACATTAAACAGCTATCTCAGAACTGGAGCGGACAAGAGGAATCCGACTGTTTAATTAAAACAAAGCATTGCGATGGCCTTGATTGGCGTTGACGTAATGTGATTTCTGCCCAGTGCTCTGAATGTCAATGTGGTGAAATTCAATTAAGCGCGGGTAAACGGCGGGAGTAACTATGACTCTCTTAAGGTAGCCAAATGCCTCGTCATCTAATTAGTGACGCGCATGAATGGATTAACGAGATTCCTACTGTCCCTAACTACTATCTAGCGAAACCACAGCCAAGGGAACGGGCTTGGATAAGTCAGCGGGGAAAGAAGACCCTGTTGAGCTTGACTCTAGTTTGACTTTGTGAAAAGACTTGAAAGGTGTAGAATAAGTGGGAGTCGCAAGACAGCCGTGAAATACCACTACTTCCAATGTCTTTTTACTTAATCCGTTACATTGAGACTTACATTATGTAAGGTTCTGATTTAAGGCATTTATGCTGATCAAAGTGGATGACAGAGTCAGATGGGGAGTTTGGCTGGGGCGGTACATCTGTTAAACAACAACGCAGGTGTCCTAAGGCAAGCTCAATGAGAACAGAAATCTCATGTTGACCAAAAGGGGAAAAGCTTGCTTGATTTTGATTTTCAGTACGAATACAAACTGTGAAAGCATGGCCTATCGATCCTTTAGATCTGAGAAGTTTTCAGCTAGAGGTGCCAGAAAAGTTACCACAGGGATAACTGGCTTGTGGCAGCCAAGCGTTCATAGCGACGTTGCTTTTTGATCCTTCGATGTCGGCTCTTCCTATCATTGAGGATGCAGAAGTCCCAAAGTGTCGGATTGTTCACCCGTTAATCAGGGAACGTGAGCTGGGTTTAGACCGTCGCGAGACAGGTTAGTTTTATCCTACTGATGAAAGTTTTGCTACAGTAATCCAGCTTAGTACGAGAGGAACTGCTGGTTCAGGTACTTGGTAATGCAGCTAATTGAACAATTAGTGCTGCAAAGCTACCACCTGCTCAGTAAAGACTGAACGCCTCTAAGTCCGAACTGAAGCTGAACGCAAAGCTCCTCGTCGCTTTCACTTATCTGCCAAGAGATATTATTCTTGAATGCCAACCTCGTCTCTCTGAGATGACAAAAAGATCCAATTGGTGGAAGCGGTACATCTTATGCAGACTACATAAATAGGTTTAGGTATTGTAAGCATTAGAGCAGACGTTGTGCTGCGATATGCTGAGATTCAGCCTACAATCTATAGATGTGTTTTATATTTTTACAGTGACTAGGGGCACAGAGAGCCATTAAAGTTAAGCGGTTGTTGTCTTTGTTGTAATGAGGATCCTTTGTATGCGATACAAGAACTAAACGTTATTGAACTCTTACCAACTCTACTACCACTCTTTAATAAATATATATACATGTTAAATTTGTTCACAGTGACTAGGGGCTCCGAACATGCGCAGGTTCAGCACGTGCATACTATGCTTTCAATTTCAAAGTGATGAAGTATAACTATAAGAATTTTAGTGTTTGTTTTCCACAGTGACTAGGGGACCAAGTGATTGCATTTAAAAAGACAAAAAGAAATATAATTTGTAAACATATCTAAAACATTAAGATTACGTCAAATTACTTTTTTTTAGTAATAGACGTACTTGCTTTGAACAATTTGAAAATGAGTAATGATTTATGTATGTTGACTCTGTTATTTTCGCCTTGAATATTTAACTATATTCCTTTGTTTTTTTTAATTTAAAAAATAAACAAAATTTTTTTTTAAATGTAATAATTGAAATACACATATATGATTTAATCAATCATATTTGCCGAAAACTTACATATCCACTGCATACTCATATATTAAAACGTATGGTTTGTCACTTGTGTATATCTAAACTGAATTTTTAGTAAGCCGCGATAAAAAAACAACGGCGAACTAAATATTTGCGCTATTAGATTTATATAATTTTGTGTTTTATTTTACTAGAAAACCAATGATAAAATCCCACATGAGTGGAAGAGTGTGATGTTAATGGACATTATACAACATTGCATATTATCAATGTTGTGTATGAAATTACTTTAGTTTTTGCCTTATTTTAAGCTAATTCTGCATTTACGCGTGAAGTATAAACTGTACTTGGTGTTACTGTGCACAGTATGTCTATTCTTCACGCGTTGAACTTTTCGTTAGCTCGTGGCGTTTCATTTATTAGCGTAATGAGATACACCTTAGAGAACGTAATTCTTAGCTGCTTGTGTTAAACAAGATATTGTAATAACAACATTCATGAACTGTTTGTACACAGCAAAACAATGAATATGATCGTAGGTGTGTGTAAAACCACGTATATACAAAGAAAATGTGGATGGTATAGTATTTCATCGCGGTTGTATATGTAAATTTTAATATGATTAAACATACATAGTATATGCCTTACACAGTTCTTGTTTATTTTAACAGTGGTAATACGATATAAGCTGTTACTCTTCATTAAGAAAATACTATAGTTTATGGCAGTTAGTTGTATTGGCATGTATTGTATAATCTAGTGAGTTAATAACACCTATAGGTTTTTTTCATACGACAAAAAAATATATATAGTTGTAGTTTCGTTTAAGAT